TAAATGACTTTTTGGTGCTCGATATATTTGTCACGTAATGATCGAAACTTTTTTGGGTGGCGATTTTACCCCGGTCACGTTTAACTTGTAAATATAATTTAAATGTGGTAGAATTAGCTCGTAACTCTGGTAAATATAATGTTGGTAGAATTGGCTCGTAACTCTGGTAAACATAAATTTGGTAGAATCTAACAGATAACTCTGGTACCTTAAGCATAATTTTGGTAGAATTAATTTGCAGCTGTAAACATAATGTTGGTAGAATTAAATCGTAACTTCGTTAAACAAAACATATCGTGTAGAATTAACTCTGGATGGCATAATTTTGGTAGAATTGATTTATAACTCCGGTAAATATAATTTTGGTAAATATCAGATATAATTAATTTGTAACCTGATAAACATAATGTAGGTGGAATTAATTAGTAATTCTGGTAACCGTAAATTTGGTAGAATTTAATTAACATTTAATGTTTAACTCGTAAATATAATTTTGGTAGAGTTAACTCAAAACTCTGGTAAACATAACTCTGGTAAACATAACTCTGGTAAACATAACTGGTAAACATAACTCGAGTAAACATAACTCTGGTAAACATAACTCTGGTAAACATAACTCTGGTAAACATAACTTATGTTAAACAAAACATATCGTGTAGAATTAATTCATAACTCTGGAAGGCATAATTTTGGTAGAATTGATTCGTAACTGGTAAACATAATTTTGGTAAATATCAGATATAATTAATTTGTAATCTGGTAAATATAATGTAGGTGAATTAATTAGTAATTCTGGTAACCGTAAAATTTAGTTAATTATCTGTTAACATTTTCGTAAATATAATTTTGATAGAGTTAACTCAAAACTCTGCTAAACATAATGTGGTAGAATTAGCTCGTAACTCTAGTAAACATAATGTGGTAGAATTAGCTCGTAACTCTGGTAAACATAATGTTGGTAGAATTAGCTCGCAACTCGAATTCTCACTAACCTCATACCATTAAAAATACGGATCCGTTCGGATCCTTTTGGATACATTTTTGCGGAACACTAATAAATTTGTGACTGGATTTGGTATAGTACCAAAATTTATATTTTAATCCTTCCCAAATTTATATTCTAATTCGCCCAAATTAAGCCCCAATTCTGCCTAAATTTATACTCCAATTTTCTTAAATTTATATTCGATTTCTGCCCAAATTAAACTCTAATTCTGCCAAAATTTATAATTAATAATAAATTTAGCAGTAGAATTAATAGTTAATTTTGCTTGTAATTATATTTTAATTTTGCCTAACATTAAGTTAATTTTGCTTGAAATTATAATTTAGTTTTGCCTGAATTTATATTTAATTTTGCATGGAATTATACTTAATTTTACTCGGAATTATACTCGGATTTATACTTAATTTTTTCAACCAATCAGATAATTTTATTAACTATAGAGGGAGGTGCTTGAGAACAACCTAAGTTGACCTTGAATGAATTAAAAGATTTGTGTGCGTCTTGTGGGCTGTCTGCGGGGGAAACAAAGAAGAGTTGAGTGAGAGGCTGTATGTATGTTTTGAGAAAAGAAGGAGCAAGTTATCAGACACATTCCTAGGAAGAAGCAATGACGAATCAGAAGGGCCTCCAGGAGGGGATAAATGAACAAGATGGTGGCATCGTAATGGAGGAGAGGGATACTGACTTAGCAGGTGATGTTCTGGATGCAACATCTCAAGAAGCGGATAATGCTTTTAGAGATAATCTTGCTGCACGTTTTCAGAAGAAGGAAAGAATCGAGTAACATTATCTCATAAATTCGTGTATAAGTTTTTAAAACTAAATTTTATTACATTACTTTTATACTGTGCATAAAATTTTTATTATCAAATTATTTTATTAAAACAAATAATTGGAATTAAGTTTACAACCAAAGTTGCTATTGTAAAACATTAATTTTCAAAAAAAACTATTAAAATGCTTACAACTCAGGGTGCTATTGTAAATATTAATTTAAATATGAAAATTCGCTTACAACCCAGGGCGCTACTGTAACTTTATATACAAGTAAAAGGAAAAATTTTTGCAAAAACTTCTTTGTAAAAAAATACGGTTTTTCCTACTGCTAAAAAAAATGAGATTAATTAGGTGAGATCGACTTTTTCAACTGGAATTTGTTCACAGTTTATAGCACAATGACCTTCAGTATAGCAGAAAGAGCAAGTTTTAAACAAATTTTTATGATTTTGTGAACTTGTAATAATAATACTTGAAGATATATTCTTCCAATCTTCAAATTGAACTTGAAATATTTCACGTGATTGATTCTGAAATTCGACAATAGCGATAAGATTATAAGAACATGTAAATTGTTGCAAAATAGGTAATGTAATACATCTAATCTAGCACTAGCGCTAGTGCTAACACTTACGCACATTAAGTAAGGCCAAACTCACATTATTTACTTATTAAGGTTTGAAGGGTTTAATTAATGCTACTGTGCAATATAATTCAACTGTTTCCTATTATGAATATATTTTTTCTAACCTTTTTTAAAATATTTCGTCCGACTAGAGCAGTTTCAAAATTGTCATCTCCAATTTTCATGATGAATGAAGGGTTATCGTTGTCTTCAACCTTCACAATGAACAATGGTCATAAGATTCCATTACTAGGTCTCAAAATTTAGATAAATTATTTTTTTTCGATAAATACAGAATTAAATATTTTTATTTAAAATAAAAGCTATAGGTATGGGTGGCGTGGGTGATGGTACCGAAGCTCCTCAAGGGGAAACTACGCAAAATGTCATTTTATGGGCTCTAGAAGTAAATACATGTAAAATTTTGGTAATTATCTCTCGGATTTAAAATAATTTGAACCTATATAGTCTGGATACAGGCATATAGACACTGCATCAAGATATGGCAATGAAGAGGACATTGGAATTGGAATCATCAAAAGGTAAACTTTTACTAATTAAATGTCTTATATCATTATACAACTTTGTTAATTTTACTTTTTAGTGGTATTCCGCGTGATCAAATTTTTATTACTACAAAAATCTGGGATATGGGTATGAAATACAAAAGAATTTTAGGAATTGCTTTTGATCATTCATGATGGACAGATATTCGGGTTATAATGATTCTTTAGAGCATATTAAATTTAACTTTCTTGTGAATGCATAAGCTATTTCTTAAACCACGAATCTTAATATGATAATATAGATCAAGGTTACGAATTAACTCTCATGGCCGCAGAGACTTCCTTATCAAGATTTCAAACTTCTTATATCGACTTGCTGCTCATACATTCACCTAGGCCTGGCTCTCAAAAACGTATAGAAAGTTATAGAGCTTTACAAGAATTAGTTAAGCGAGGAAATGTTAGAAGTATTGGTGTATCAAATTATGGTGTAAAACATCTAAAGGAGTTGATGGATACTAATCCTGAAATTATACCTGCCGTTAACCAGATTGAAGTAAATCAAGATTCTTTATATAATTAACATGTTATGAAAATTTTTTTCAAAGTTATATCAATATTTAGGTTCATCCTTGGAACAATCGAAAAGAAATTATATCTTATTGCACTAAACATAAAATTATTGCAGAGGCTTTTTCTCCACTTACCAGGGGGAAAAAATTAAATGATCGTGCTCTTGTTAACATCGCTGAGAAATATAATAAATCTGCCGCTCAAATTTTGATTCGTTGGATAAGCATATAAATTTTTATTTATTATATTGATTGCAATTGTTTGATTGAAGAAATGTTAAAATATTAAACTTAAATTTAATAGTGCCTTCAAAATAATTTTGTTGTATTGCCAAAAAGTATAAATAAAATGCACATAATTGATAATACTAAAGTATATGATTTTGTAATCGAGGAGGAGGATATGAACATTCTTGATAACCTAAATGAATATTTTGTTGCCGGTGGTATGTTGATTTCTCTTTTATTTTTTAATGGATCTATTTTTTTTTTTATCTAACTTATTTGTTTATAGGATGAGATCCAAGTACATCAGATTAATTGTTTCGCATTATTCTTGGTTTTGCTTTTATTATGACACTTTTTACTTAGTTATACACATCGGTTAAACTTTTTTGCGCAACTTAAATTGCAAAAATTTTTTATGTTAAATTACAAATTTGAAATTCGGATGTTTTTTTTTTTTATCTATGACACTCTATCTTAATTATACTATTCGGACTAAAAAATTTTCAGCAAAATCGAATCAGTTAATTTGTCTCTTGATTAACGATGAATATTTGTATATCTCCATTATATAGTCATAATTTTATGTCTTCTCTAAATACTAATATAATTATAAAATGATACGTATCTCATCATGTAGCATCCCTTAACGTTAAATAAAAATGCATCTGATCTATTTTTAAAAAAATTAATATATTTAAATTAAATTTTTTTTTTGACAATGTTCGAAAATAAGGAGTATATTTTTGTAAAATTTATATTTAAATCATAAGACAAAAAATTTGATTTGCTTATAAGGCAAAAATACACAATTTTTAAAAATTTTTAATTAAAAAAATAATTTAGTCTTTTATTAAATATTATTAATTTTTGATTTATAGTTTTTTAATAGAAATTATAGTTTAGTAATATATGATTTATTTATGAAAAATAAAACTTGTATTAGGGTAAAAAAAATTTTATAGACGAAAACATACTAAATTTTAAAAATCTAAAGAAAAAATTTTTAATAAAAAATTCAAAATAAAAACTTTATCGCTGTTTTCGAAATGGTTGAAAATAACCAGCAAAAAAATTTTTGTGAATTTCACGAATACTCGAATACTCAATTACATTAGCACAATAAAAACAATCACTGTATGTACGTACACAATTTGGAATCGATCTTTGATCAATGTGATTATTGTGCCAATGTAATCAAGTATTCAAGTATTCATGATATTCACAAAAAAAATTTTTGTTGGTCATTTTCAATTATTTCGAAAACAGTGATAAATTTTTATTATTCTTAAATTTTTAATAAATTTAAGTTTTTAAAAAATTATTAAAATATATCTCAAATTATATTTTTATTTAAAAAGTATACAGCCAAAATTAATATTTAGAAATTTATTTTAAGAATAAAATTTTTAAAAAAATTTTAGTACAAATTTGTACGAGAAACGGTTTAAGGGAAAAGAACTATTGGATCACATGTGTTACATGAGTTTGACTAAATAAGATTTTGCACACTTGGTCACATATTTCTGTATTTCTAAAGAAACACGTAAAGTGTAATCTACAACACAGAACAAAGTGCATTTCATAAAGACTTAATGTTACACTAGTTAAATAAGTTTCTTTTTGCAGTAAAGATGCGCACGGATTTTTCTAAATAGGGCTCAATTGACTAATTTTCGTTTTTATCCTTTTGTGTGATAATTTCGAAGTTTAATCTATAATTTTAAGAAAAGAAATGGAGCCTTCGGACGAAAAAGGAATCAATATTAATTCTGTTACAATAGATTGGTAAATATAATTGCTTGTCAAAGATAATAAAATTATATAATTCTGTTCAAAACACTTGACATTTTTTAGTATTCCTATTTTCATTTATTTTAATGATGCATCACAAACAAATTTCTAATAGCTATATTAAATTTGATTTGACAGGGAGTGAGTGAAGTCTTTATAATATACTTAGTTTTTAAATAAACCACATCCCTAATTTACACCTTACTTTTAGATAGTAAGTATCACATACTAGATCCATAATTATTTTCTCTATATTACTTTTAATTAATCAATTCTCACAAAATTACTAGCTTGCAAGTATAATGTTTATTAAGTTACGTTGATCTTAAGTAAAGACTCACTAATCGATTCATATTAATTAACAGAGAATGAGTACAAATCAACTATTA